TGGGTGAGACAGAGGAAGGGAGAGAGGGAGCGAGTACTTCGCCAAGTGTGATTATTTGTTCACGTATTCGCTTGCATGCGTGTCTGGATCTGCCACGGTATACGTTGTTACCCTATGTCTATACGGCGCCGTGTTGACTACGCTGTAGAACGTGCCGGAATATGACTGAACTCAAGTGTCAGGTTGTGGTACCTCCACGGCTGTTTTCATCTGCTGCTCCTTTATAGACCTTCTCGGTGAAAAGGCAGCAGACCTTTCATGACGGAGACCATTAAATTCATACCGACCTTCATCAATAATGTTTTCCTATTTGCAAGTAAAAGCTGCGTCCGAGGCCGAAACATTTTCACCGGCGGAGTTTGCGACGCGCTCCAATGTTTACCCCCCCCCCCCTCTCATTCACTTCATGGCATGATTGGAAGAAGTTGAACATAATAAGTCAGGTCTTATGAGGAAGCGGCAGCATGTGCATCAATAAACAGTGAAGCTGTTCCAAATGTCTCAGTCGGTGGCGGAGGTTTTTTTTTTTTTTTTTCTAAAGAAATCCTTGAGACGTGTCAGATGGCAAAAAGTTCTGTTCCTCGTATTTCTGAAATCATCCGAGGGTCTTCGTTGATCAGCTCGGGAAGCCTGGCCAATCAGGTGTTAATCTGCTGTTAGAGAACGACACTTTGGAGTTCTGTGTTCCATTTGACCTTTCTTGACAGTGACTGTGTCACTAAACAAAATCTGAAAGGCAGAAATACACAAAAAAATAATTAATTTTTTTTTTGATTTTCTCATCAGGCCTGCAGGATGAGGTGGAGGGATTCTCAGCAGTCATTGGGGGACACTGGGGTCTGCAACCCCTCTACCCCCCACGCCCTCACCCCCGTCCACCACAGGGTCACAAATGGAGACAAACAACATAACCGTGCATGTTTTGGACCGGGAGAAAACTGGAGGAAAACCAGGCAAACTCTAAACCTCTGTACAGAACCACCACCATCAGTTGTATGTATATATTTATATTTATATTTATATATAGACACATACTAATGTTTGTGTGTATCTTTGCTTTAATTCAGCAGAAACATTTTAACACCCACTTTTGGAAGTTTCCTGTGGTAAAACAAAAAAAAGAAACTTATTTTTTTAACCTAAAACTGACTTTTTTTATTATTGAAGCTAATGATTATTTTCTGTGCAGACATGATTGATATTTATATTTATTTTTCAATTTCGAATTGTCATTCCGTCAAACAGTACGCCGTGCCGGGGTGTGTGTTATTTTGGCTGTAATGTCCTCCTCAGTGACAAAAGCAGGATTGTGTGCATGTGTGTTTGTGCGGGACAGGAGTCACAGTTTATGTTCTCGGATGTGATGGAATCTCCCACTTGTTTCACTCATCCTCTCTCTCTCCGTCTCTCTCTCTCTCTTTTTTTTTGCTCTGGCTGCTAATCAGCATTTGAAAGGCAGCTTTGACAGTGAGAAAAAGAAAGTGAGGGGGGCACGGAGAGGTGGGGGTAAACGAAAGCATGAGACACAGCGAGTCAGGGAGGGAGAGCCGGGGAGAGAGAGAGAGAGAGGGAGAGAGTGAGGCGAGGGGCTGTACAAGCATGCCTTTTATATTTACTAGTGACAGAGAGGGAGAGAGGGAGAGAGAGCAGCTGAAGGCAGAGACAACTGGTGTGCACGGCTTTCCCAAGAGGAAATGAAAAGAAAGAAGCTCAGCGAGGAGAGTGAATGAGTGAGCAGGAGAGAGAGGAGAGGGAGAGAGGGTGGGAGGGAGCATGTTGGCTGGAGAGAGAGATGGAGTGAGGAGGAGGAGGAGGAGGAGGAGGAGAGAGAGTGGGAGCCGGAGAGATTCTCACACTGGCTGTGTCCTAATCCGAGTCCATCTTCAAGAAGGAGCAGTGGAGCAGAGTGTCAGAGAAGTGAGTCTGAGAGCCAAGGAGAGCTACATCAGCCAGCTGCACACACACGCACGCACGCACACACCCGCACACACCCGCACCCACACACACACACACACTCTTGAGAAGAGAGTCCGTGATGCGTCCAGCAGTGTGGTCTTGGCTTTTGTGAAAGTAAGCGGTTGAAGCTGCCCTCGTCCCAGCCCCCCTTGGCTCACACACACCCGGTGTTTGTTTGCTGTTGAGGTGCTGGTGGAGGAGTAAGAAGAAGAAGAAGAAGAAGAGGCGGAGGAGAAGGAGGTGGCGGAGCAGGAGGGCACTGCCAGGGCACAGGAGCAGGGGGCACAGGAGAGGAGGAGGAGGAGGAGTGACAAAGTGGATCAGATCAACAGCAGCAGACTTAACCCTGGAAATGTCCGTCAGGTAAGTAGATAATAGATCTTTTAAGTTACTGTCAGCGCACACACACACACACACACACACACATACACACACACATCCGAGGATGAAACACCTTGAAAATGTCACCTTTAATCTGACTTCATCTGACTTCTCTCTGTGAATTCTTTCGCTTTAATCAGTGAATCTGTTGCTTCTCTCATCATTTTATCAAAACAAAGTCATCAGTTCACGTCAGTTTGGTTGAGGGGTGTAGAACAACAGGCGTCAGTGTGAACTGTAGTTTCACCAGCAGGGACTTTTATGCAGTTTTTATTTTAATCAGAACACATTTATTCCTCTTATCCTAAAACTGAATGAAATGATGATGAAATTATTCTACTTTTTTTTAAAAAAATATTGAGCTTTTGTTTTTGACTGATTTGCCACATCGACTTACACCATCAGAGTTCTGTTCTAAAGTCATTTTTCTTGCAAACTTTTTTTTCTCCCTGGACATAAATTTGATAATATTGGTAATATGCAGACTAAATGTAGCTTTTTTCCCCTGAATGCACCGTTCCTGATCCTAACTGAATGTTTTTGTTTTTTTTTTTAAATCAATTAACTCTAACTGCGGAGACCCTCAGTGTGAACCTCCACTCTTTGTTTTTGGGGGGATGAGCTGAAGAGTTCTGTGCTGAATGACCTCACTGTGAGCTCTCTACTTTGTCGCAAACTGAAAATGAGCGTGTGTGTGTTTGCGTGCGTTAACTTGTGCATGTATATGTGTGTGTGTGTGTGTTTGCTCGGGATTGAGATTTAGGAGCACGCAGTGAGCGGCTGCGTGTCCATCTCCACCTGCAGAGGCAGAATTGGTCACAGTTTAGTGGCTCAGTAACATTGGCTGCCTTCAGGGCTCTTGCAGCAGGTGGTCCAAATTGGCAGAGTGGCTGTGGCCAAAGCAGTGTGATGACTGTGACTGTGTTTGCTGCTGCTCCAGAGTAAATAACAACATCAAACCATCGCAAAGTGATTAAAGTGTCTTCAGGCTTTAAGAAAAAAAAGACTTTTTTTTTTTTAAGTTTTCATTGGTCGGGGTCTCGTCGCTGGAACCAGTGGCACAAATGAGCGAGGGCGCGAGGGTTAAATGCCCTTGAAATATTTGAAATTGCCCTTGAAATTTGCATGAGGGGGGCTTTTTTTTTCAATGCCTTTGTGGATGAGTTGACTTTGCTGCGGCACACACAGTGGGTAAGGCATGTTTTTGAGAGTTGACAGTCATGACACTAATGAATTAATATTTCCAGGGACGGTCGGTGGTTAAAGTTTGTGGATATTTACTTTGATTAGTGTGGAACTGGACGTCGGTTTTCCTCTTTAACGGAGAGAATAACAATGTTTTAGGATGGAAAATCCACAGTGATCCAATTTCCTGATATAGATGAGCAGGTTGGACGAAAGTTTTTAAGAAATAGTTCAGATAATCCTGGCAGTAATCTGATCCAAAAAAATATTTGATTTAAATCAAGATGAAAACACAAAACGTTCATGTTAAATATTTAAAAAAATATATAAAATAATAGTAAAATGTCAGAGTTTTTAAAGCTTAAAATCATACATGTTATGTCTAAAAGTTCTCACTATTTCTGGCTTTCCACATTCATATTCCCCTTTTATTTAAAAAAAAATCCCTTTAATAATTATTTCTGAACACATTTTCTCATGTTTCCTATAAATTGTCAGCTGATTTTTTGCAGCTGTTGTTTCTGATAAATCCGAATCTTGACCTGAATCTATCGTTCAAACACCGGGAGGAGACGTCAGGGTCTCACCACTGCTGGAAACAGTTGCTTTTAAAAAACAAAACAACAAAAAACCTCTTCCAGAACAATATTATTCCTTGTTATAATGAATTAAAACCAAACAGGTGTTTTCGCTGCGCCGCTGACTCGACACGTGCGGGGTCAGATTATGACATGGCATGTCCTCGGTACACTTTATTCCCCGGCCCTGTGAGCCGCTGAGCCCCTCCACCCGTTTCCACTTCTTACATCTGCAGGATGCTCTGGTCGTGACCTGCCTCTCAGGCCTGCGGTAATAAAACCCAGATGCAGGTATATATTGTGTGGATTTAGGAAAGCAGCGTTTGATGCCAACGTGACCGGGAACTCTCTGTGAATTCCTCCGTTCGCTGTCCTCTCACAGAACTGAGCTCAAGGAGACGTGATAAAGTCTCCTTGAGACCAGATTCGGCCCATCACAGATAACACTAAATTCTCCAGCACGTAAATAACAATCGCAGCAGGAAGGAGTCATAAATCTGGTCACGTGAAAGTCAGCGGTGGGGGTTAAAAAAAAACGTCTTCTTAATTTGGCGTCATGTCTGTTTTAATCTGTGTCGGCGGAGATCGTCAGCCACTTTTCATGAGTCATTGTACATCTCAGGTAGACCTCTCTCTCTCTCTCTCTCTCCTCCTCCCTCTCTGTGTCTCTCTCCTCGCCCCCCCCCCCCCTTGACGGACAGCCACATACACACTTCTTGCTCTGGCTGTGCACACGTGTGTATGTGTGTGAAGAGTGTTGACAGACAGACGGTGCGCGTGTGTGTGTCTGTGACAGAGGGTGTCAGCGTGGTGTCAGGGAGATGTGTTTAGTGTCACACTCTGCTGACCTGATCTCCGCTCGGACTGTCCAGTTCGGCCCCACTGTGGCTCTTACATAACCCCCCCGCTGTCATTCACACACCGGCCTGAAGGGATCCACACACACACACACACACACACATGCAGACGATGCAAAGCCTCGTCCTCAGTCTAAAATCTCCCTCTCCGTATTTTCTCATCCTTGGATTTAAACTAAAAAAAAAACCATCAAAACGACGAGTGCAACTTTAATGCAGTGTGTTCCTGTGTGAGTGCGAGTGTGTGTGTGTGACACAGTTGTGATCTCTGACATCTGGCCCGTGTTAATTGATGTGTCGCTGCAGAACAACAGAGCGCCTTTAAAAACTCCCCGCCTTCTGTGAACAAATGTGTCGTACAGGAGAAATAGCCGGGGTAACTGCGTGTGCTGGTCTTTGGCCTGTGGTTGTTTAGAGGTCAGTGCTGATGTGGTCTGTGCCTGCAGGAGTGGATTTACTGTCTCCAGTCTGATAAAGACGGAGCTGCCTCCACTCAGCTCTCTCTCCCTCTCTCTCTCTCTCTCTCAGTCAGAGGCAGAACTTTCTGTCTCCTCTCTGCCTCTTTGTGCTTGTTCGCCAATAACTTTCACAAATTTTTCGGGAACGTCTGGGACTCCGTACGTATGAATATTATCAGTATTCCCCGCTTACAAGTCGGCACATTTACATCTCACTGTAGGAAGTGTCAAAATACGAAGTCTGTTTTTTTTTATTATTATTGTATTTCCTGTAAGTCTCACATTCCATCCTGAGCCTTGCCTTAAACCAGGGTCAGGATATTAAACCTCGGGAACACATGATGACTTAGGGTTCAACCAGATCGTGTGTGGAGTGTAGATCAGGTCAGAACTAAACCCTTTTAGAACCTACCGTCATAAATCACATATATATATAACTATAAATACATAAATGAACAATAGAGGGGGGAGAAAATTGAATGAAATGACTCGCACCAGCAACAGTTACGTTCCGTTAGCAGCTTGTGCTAACTTTTATTTTGTTTGTTTTTTCGTGAGTTTGGTTCTTAAAGATTTATGGTCTTTTTATTGCAGTGAGTATTTGTGAAACAGATTTAAAACAGCTTCGGTTTTTGGCATTTACAGTAACACATGTAGTCAGACTAAACAGTGGAGAACCTCTCTCTCTCTCTGTCTTTTGCTCTCTCTCCCACACTCTTGCTAAAACTATTTGTATACAAACTTTTTTGGAGCAAAATCAGATATAAAACATTGCCTCACACACTCAGCTGTAACATTTTAGTGTTTGGAACAAACTTAGTCAACAAGTAAAGTCACTTTTTGACTTTTTGATTTCGTGTTCTGAGACAAATTGACGGAATCTTTATGTAAATTTCTTTTTGTTTTATGTCTAAATGTGTCTCCAAGCAGTGTGTTCATCAGAATTTTGTTTTCCTTGTAAGATTCTGGTGGATGTCTTTGGTCTAAGGACTGAAATCCAGTACCTGTCAGACTGTTCCAGCTTTGGAAAAGACAAAAATCGAAAGGAACAAGATCGAAAATAGTTGAAAATAATTAATAATTTTAACAGGTTTCCATTCAAGTTTGGTTGGAAATCTGATGTTCACTCGCTGTTTTGCATATGGTTTATTTTTAATCATTTATATATATATATATATATATAAGGCAGAGGTTGACTGCCTGGCTGTGGTTCACGTTCTTCAGTTTTTCACACCTCAGCATGGACCTCCGAGAACCAGAACCCAAAGCTCTGTGTGATTAAAGAGGAGGAGGAGGGGGGCCAAATATTGATTACCATTAGTAACTATTAGAAAATATCATTATCTGTTCTTCGTTTCCATTTCCTCACACTTGAAAATCTGGTTTCTTCTCCGTCCGTCCGTCCATCTATCTCCACTCTTACTCTCCCTCCCCCTCTGTCATGGCCCCTCTCTCCCCTCCCTCTTAATAATTTATCTTTTGCTGATCTCTGTGTTCTCTGTTCTCCCGCTTTAGGAAGAGTCCACTCTGTGCGTTCGCGGTGCAGGATCACTCATACAGGCTGTTATCTTCATTCCTTCACACACTTTCCAAAGCCTCCTTCTTCTTCTTCTTCCTCATCACCATAGAGATACCTGGGGGTGGGCAGGGTCACTCTGGTCCAATCTAACGCCGTATTGATTCCATTAGATAATTAATGACCCAGGCAAGGGCCAGGGAGTAGCAAAGAGGGGCTTAGCGCTGCTGAGGGGGTGACGATGATGGGAGAGCCGGGGATGTTGGGGGAGGAGGGGAATTCTGACGCCGAAGACCCTTGAGAGTTGGAGAAAACCTTGGGTCGGGAATGTTCCAGACTCTTCAAGGTCAACGGCAGCAGGCGCTGGGCTACGGAAGCGGAATTCTGAGCGAGTCGGAATATGAAGTAGTCCTGGATGGAGGGAAGGAGAGAGAGAGAGAGCTAGAGAGAGAGAGAGAGAGAGAGAGACAGATCTTCAGGTCCAGCAGCTCTCCATTGATCAGCCACTAAAAAATTGAACATTCAAAAGTCTTTTGACTTCCAAATCCTGAGGTCCAAGCAGGTCCGTAATTCATGATAAGTAGCTTTCAGCCCTCGAACCAGAATACCAAACTTCACCTCCCCGGACGCTGCAGACGCTCATTTGCAACTACTCAACAACATGAAAGGCCAGATAGAAGAAGGAGCTGCATCAAAAATTCTGCCCGTGTCATTACCAGCCATGTTTTATACATCTTCCATGATATTGAATGTTCTGTTGATAAAATATTATTCACAGGAATATCTACCATCACTGTTACTGCCGTCCTTCACTTTAACCTTTGGTGAGCAATAATTAAAGATGTGTGGGAGAGAGAGAGAGGGAGCAAGAGAGAGAGGTGACTGAAAAAAAATGTCATTTACAGAGTTTGATTTGATTTGAACAAAACAAATCATTTAAAGAGGTTTTTACAGCTTTTAGATATTTTTTCATGAAATATATTTTTATCCTCTTTACACTTTCCTCTTTTCAGTAAAAGTTTTTTTTTTGGAGAGTTGCAGTAAAATGATGCAGTTGGTGTAAAAGGACTTCGGGGAGATTTTATAGCGTCTGAACTTCAATCCCTTTGTTCACCGACCGCCCCTGTAAAATGTTAGGTTTTAAGTAAACAGCCTTGTCTACTGCACTTCTTCAAGGTCCATCAAATGAAGTACTGAGATAGAACGAAAAAACCCACCTGCTCAAGGATTTCTCTGTATTCCTCAGGTTTTTACTCAGATTTACAGTCACCTGGACGTTAAAAAAAAAGGACATAAAAATCATCAAAGCTGGAAATATTCTGCCCTTCTTGTAAAGTGCACGTCGCGAGGCTCAGACCTGCTCTCCACCTTTGCGTGATGGCGGCGCACGTGGCGTCTCCTGTGGGCCGTGAGCGCTGCTCTGCTCCCACCTCCACGCTCTCACTCTTGGCCGGCCTCTGTATTGGGCCCCAGGGGTTGAGGAGATGAGGCATAAAACAAGCATGTCTCCACCTAGGGGAGGTGGTGGCATGGCACTCAGGCTATTGTCTGTCTGCGTGCTCTTTGACTTAAATGTGTTCATTTGCCTGATGCCCCCGACTCCCCCGAGAGGAGGGGGAGCTTCGGGGAGAGGAGGAGCGCACTAACGAACCTCTGACAGCTGGAGGCCCTAATTAAATGTCCCTGCTGAAAATAAACATTGCCGGAGCCAAGCGGGCGGCTGCGAGAGTTCACCGCAGTGTCCCCCCCCACCCCCCTCGCTGCTGCTGCTGAGGCCGCGCCAGGAGTGCATGACTCTATAGGGTCGGAGGGTCCGGAACACACGTATACGTCCACACGTGGCAACTTTATGAATATATAGATCTGCGTCGACCCAGCCAGAGCACCTGCGCTCCCGCTTAACTCACAGGTTGCGAACGCGGTACGTTTCCGTTCTTGTGCGTCACACTTCCTTTTCCTTTTTCCCCCTCTTCTATTGATGGGACGGTGTCGCGCGCTCAGCCCCCGTCGACACCTCTGACATAAAGCCCGTTCTGCTGCAATAGCAGTGGAGCCCATTTGGACGAGTGCTTTAATGGGGCCGCCCAACCTGTGACAAGGTTATGAGGCTGATTGAATAATTACTGTGGAGGCTCCTGTCCATTACTGCCTGCTGTCTGCTCAGACGGAGATGGTGGGGTAGGTTAGACAGGAGACAGGGGAGATGGAGGGAGGGATTAGATGGCACAGATAGGGTCAATTGAGAGATAAACATACAGATAAGGGGGGGGGATGAAAACGGCAGCCGAACGCGTTTGTGTCTTTCCGTTTTGATCCTGCCGGGCTAGTCTACGGAAGACTTATTTGGCAGGGAGTGCATTTATCCAGGTGAGCTAGGAGAGGTGACAAAGGTGAAGCTGTTAGACACAGGTGTGCTGCCCTCTGCTCGACCCTGTCTCCTCGTCACCACACTCTGTGAGACGGAGACTGTCACAGGCTGGACAGGAGTTTCCTGTAGTTTTCTAACCTGGTGAAACATATTTTTAAATGCCCTTATAACCAGTTTAATTTTACCAGAACAAAAAATTAAAAGAAAGATTTAGAAAATATTTTCAATAAAAACATAGGCCGGTATATAGTAGAATCATTAGTCCAGTTACATAATATTATTAATATTCTGTTTCACCATTACAAATAAAATTTCAATTTAATTTTAAAATCCATTCATGCAAAATATTCAAAGAAATTTGACTTGACATATATGTACTTAGTTTCCCTGAACATCATCATGATGCATGTATACATATATAAATAACATATATACATGTTATTGTCATGATTCAGTCATATTTTGACCCACTCTGTGTTCAGGGTGTGCAGTTCCAAAATGTACCACTAGGTCAATCATCGTCACTCCCTGTGTTTTCTCCAGATACTGGAATATTTGACTTAGGTAGAATGTCCATGTAATACTGAACTGATTGTGGATCCCATTTTGGAATGTTTACAAAAACAAACTAGAACATATACTCGGAAAAACACTCTTTGGAGAGGGGTCAGATTCCAACATGGGTCTAATTTTGCTTCTTTATTTCAAACATCTCTCACAGTCTTTCCAACAAAATTGAATAGATATTAAGAAGTCCTTTGTTTCTGCGGTCCAAACTTTTACACCGATCCAATAACTTTCCATATATACAGTTGATATCTGCCGTGGAGCCCGGCCTCTGCTGACCCCTGTTAGCAAAGGTCACCACAACCATGCGCTAACTCTAGACTTTACCCATTTCTACTGGCCCGCTGTGCATAGCTCTGCCTGACTTGGTAGTGCTGACCCAGCCGGGCCACAGACAGAGACTCTTAAACAGGGACCGAGGGGGAGTGGGGCATCTCAGGCCCAGGGGCATGACACCGCGGTGCTTGGGGCCACACTAGCCCTTTAAATGTCAGCACAGCACAGAAGGGAGGACGGGAAGGTCGGGAACTGGTTGAGGAGCAGAACTTTGACAGTGGAGATGAATTTTGGCAGTGTCCACATCCGCACGGTGGGACAGACAGTGGACAGGATGTGGTTTGTTTTCCTTGGAGAAGGCTACAAAGCCTTGGAAAAGTCAGTCTTATCTTAAGGTAGATTCTTAACAAAGTTTATAAAATGAAATAAGAAAATACCTTTCTAGTTGGACAATGATCTGTATCAATCGTTTAAGGCGACCTTCCATGGATCTTGATGTCAAGATACGACGATTTAGCCACATTGATGTCTTCCTGCAGCTTTACCTGGAACATTTCTTTGTATGCAGACGACTGTCTGTTTCTTATAAACAATCTATGACGTGAATACCTGTAGCAAATGTTGTGTTTTCCTTTGTTTCTGAATGTATTTTATTGACAGACTTCTCTGTTTTCTGTTCTCTTCTTGGACATCCAGGTCTGAGCGGGTCACATCCTCAGCCAATCAGAGCCCCCGTTAACGGCGCTGTCGACACGTGACTGTGGGAAGTATGGCCACCATGCCGTTTGTCAGCGAAGGGAAGTGCGTGAGCGTGGAGTGGGATTTTCTGCAAGGACTGCTGGCCAAGCCTCCGACCCTGCCCTGGTGAGACCTGACACCCCCCCCCCCACACACACATGGACAGGCTGATACTGTATGAGCCTTCAGGCGTGTGTGCGCATCAATTGCCACAAGGTGAAATCCACGTATTAACAGACATGTCCACGGTGACGGTCTGAGAAAGACTTTCTCACCGCTGAGAATCTCTGTCTGTCTGTCTGAGTTTCGTCCAATCAGCTTCCCTGCTCACCTGCCGATCCTGTCACGGCGTCGGCGAGTGTCGTCACTTCGGCGGCAGATTAAACCAAATTTGGCTCCAGTTATTAATGAGCACTCATTTACAGGCGGATATAAAAACTAAGCAGGATCAATGTGCGTGTATCGATTGCTCTTGGCGGCCGGGGTCGAGGCAGTATAATAATGAGATGTCACACGTGCAGGCTGGACGTGCTGCCAGTCCCTGACCTGTATAGCACACACACACACACACACACACACACACACAGGTATAAAGTGAGAAAAAGTCTGCGTTTAATTTTTTCGACAACAGCGTTTTTGTCTTCGATCTTTTATTTTTTTTCCCATATTCTCCGGTGTGTTTCTCTGGATTAGTTTCTACACCAGATACACAGAGGAGAAAGGCCAGGTCCTCCTCCTCCTCCTCCTCCTCCAGCTCCCATTCTCTTTCTGTCTGTCTTACGCGCACGCACGCACACACACGCACACGCCACGACACACACACACACACTTTATCCCGGCTCAGCGCCGACACAAATTGTGAAGTGGCTGTGACAACATAATTCCCCCACTCGAGCCTCATTGAGGAGAGTCAATACCCAATCAGAGCGACAGGCTACCTGAGCCCCCCCTCCTCCCTCCCCCCCTTCACCCTGCCCCTCCCTCTCCTATTGATCCCTCAATCATGGCCTCAGCTCACTAGTCCGGGACCAGATGAGAGGGTGAAGCAGAGAACAAGGGTTTTGAAGGAGAGATAGGCTCCGTGTGTGTGTGTGTGTGTGTGTGTGTGTGAGAGTGTGTGCCAGCCAGTGTGTTCATTCACATATGGATTTTGGAGCCGATGGCATTATTAGGAGTCCGTTCTGGAAGATAGAAGAGGGGCATTTGTCTGTAATTACCAGGGCGATCTGCAAGAGACGGGTATGAATGGTGATTGTTTCACTTGAATTGCAGGAGCTATTACAATCATATGTACTTATGAAATGAATTCTCTAAATTGAGGCGCAGGTCATTTATACAAACTCCAACAGGTGGGCAGTGAGTGGCCATTACACGCTGCCTCTGACCAGATCCAGCTCTGGTGCCGTGTGTCTCCTCAGACTCATTCTCGCCCTGTGTTTTCTTTCTCTCTCCTACATCTTCTCTAACGCAACCTCTCTGCCCCCCCCCCACCCTCTGTCCACCCCCAACCACCCACAGCCTGCAGAATCTCCGTAAGGAAAAGTCCAGAAATGCAGCTCGATCACGAAGAGGGAAGGAGAATTTCGAGTTCTTCGAGCTGGCCAAGATGTTGCCTTTACCGGGCGCCATCACCAGCCAGCTGGACAAGGCCTCGGTCATACGGCTGACCATCAGCTACCTGCACATGCGCACCTTTGTCAGCCAGGGAGACCCACCCTGGAGCCCCCTGATGGAAGGAGACAGCAACTGCAGCAAAGGTGAGGCGAAGGCGAGGAAAGCGGGAAAAGTAACTTAACACTGAAAACATGTTACTAGCACGAAAAAAAAAAACAACCTGCACAGATTTGACTCTCTAATTAGTTTCTAATTATCCCAGTAATTTACTCTGCTCTGTGTGTGCTGCACGAATTATGTCTGTGGGTGTCTGCGTGACTGCATACACACATTTGTTCATCCTAGTTTCTCCAAAACACATCTTTAACTCGGGGTCGCTCTTCTAGTTCATAGAAAATGATGTCAAATCACAAGATAACAACATTACCAGAATAATAATGCATTCCAAAGTTATTATTATTATTTATTTATTTATTTATTTGTTGTTGTTATTCTTCTTCTTCTTCTTCTTCTTATTATTATTATTATTATTTAGGATAATTTTTTTCTCTATTCCAACTTCGAAAAAAGGATATTTAGGAAACAGAAAATAGACTTGACGTTTCCACAGCTGTAGTCTGCATTGTGATTTCTATAAACTCTGTAAACTCTGAAAGTGACTAGATGGAATTGAACCCAAAACCTTCTTCATGGTAAGTGGAAATCCCATGACTTTGCCATTTTAGCACGCTTTTCTGAAGATAAAACAAGAAGTAAAATCTGTAGAACTGTAGTTCAATACTTACATATTGTTAAAACAAAAAAAAGAACCAAATTCATTTGATTTTTAAACATAAAGTTGTTTAGAATTACGTGCCACAACATTCCAGATTTTATTTTTTTTTTATTTGCTACACTTTGCAAATCTGCAGACCTTGTTTCGTTGTTCCTCCTGTTGGTTTCCTGCAGTTCTGTCTAATACATAATTACACAGCAGAGATAAATACGCTGGTGTGTGAGTGAGTGAGTGAGTGTGTGTGTGTGTTGCCAGCGAACACCTACCACTCTTCACAGCGTGTTTGGGGAATCACAGCCCAGCAGTGTGTTCAGCCCCCTTCCACCCGCCCACAGATTCAGACCTGAGACATTTGTCTGGTCTTCTGATAACAACGGGAATAGCTGCTGCAGTGTGCGTGCGTGTGTGTGTGTCTGTGTGTGAGTGTGAGCCTGGTTAGCCAATATATATCTGCTCAAAGATGCCAGCGTGTGTGTGTTTTCAGGCACAAGTGAAATGGATGATACACAGAGGTGGGAAACCACTGGTGCGATTTGTAATTACAGAAATTAATTTTATCAAGAGGACAGTGTAATTATACAGCCTGTTTAATTGCTACAATTACTGAGGGGAAATGATGCAGCGAGCGTACAATTAGGTGCGCGCGCGTGTGTTTGTGTCTGCGTGTGTGTTTTCATCACCATTCACACCTAATTTTACAGCTCGTGCACCAAAATTATATTTGTATGTATCTAAGCTGATAATGCACTTTGTGTGTGTAATTATAAATCATTGTTTTAAGCAGTGTAGGAATATGAAAGATAATGGAAGAAATATGCAGCTAATACTTGCTAATTTAACGCAGCAGGCTCTGTGTATGAACTGAGTGGGATTTTGATAACAGTAATTTTCAACTGATATTTATTAATACAGACTTAGTTTTCAAACGATATTGTGAATTCACAGTGATTTCACTCATTGTTTTTACAGCTGAAAGTATGAATTTAAAGTAGTGCAACCTCAACCTCTTACTACAATCTTACAGCCGGTACTGCTTACAGTACTTGATTCACAGTATACATACAACTTGTTTTGTTGAACACACATGTGGTCATGCAGCTACTTCCTGTTTCCCTGACTGACACTCAAGTGCTGAAAGAATGCTTCAAGTTTACAAACAAGAAGTAAAATAAAAAATGTCAGGGGTTAGCATGGCTAGGCTAATGCTAATTTCTAAAACGACTAGGAAGTTATAGTGCCAGGATACATTTATTATTAAATTAATATGTTATTTATTAAATATAGTCTAGGCAATATAGGCACAATATTTTTCACACTTTTATTAATTATAAGAAACACTGAATTTTTTTCTAATTTTTCAAATTTACTTCAGACTTGAAAGCCTACTGAATGTTTCTTGGTCCTATTCTTGTATTATTCCACATGAATTGTGACTAGAAGTATCCAAAGTGGCCAAAAATGAGCTTTCACTTCACTTTATCTGCAAATTTCGGACAACCCTGAACGGGGAACAGCACACTACCATTTTTACCCACGTGATTTCTTATAAGAAGTGAGACAGATGAGGTTGATGTAGCTGCCAAATCTGCTTTTAAATACCCAACTCTTTTCCATATCCACAGTTCTATATATTCTCCTTCACGGAGAACCTGCAGTAGCGAGGTTTTCCTCTGGCTGCAGAGCACACTCCAAATGTCTGAGTGATATACATACACCAGTGCACTTATACAAAGCCGTGGCCTTGACTGCGCTCTGCACAAAGTGAATTGTTTTGCCTCAGCGTTCCGGGGCTTCTCCGTGGCCTTGATAGAAAACGCCTGCTCTTTAGAAAAGTCGGCGTGCACGTAGCTGCACTGTCCTGTGCATGACCTGAGTTTGTGGTATAAAGACAAATGCGAGGTATGACGCTAACAGGAAAATGAGAGGCGGCGTGGACTATAACTGTACATACATAGAAAACCAGCTATGGCTGCAGCGCAAGGTCGTGGAAAATGGGGAGGCATTAGACAAACACAATGAATCCCAACATGTGGCAAGAGCGGCACTAGAGTCTGAATTATTCCCAGCATTTCTTGCACAAGGTCAGGATGTGATGTGAGTGCGTCCGTCTGTGTTCTTCAAATTTTATTTCTTTTTTTTTTTTTTTGGACATTTCTCACAAACAGGTCACAGATTTAGCAGCGCTCGGGCTGAAATTGCGATGCTAATTTGGACATCAGTTTGAACAAGTCTGCCCACAATGCATTGGCAGGGTTTTTTAAGTGTGATGCATGACTTTAATTCCGTTAGTGGAATGTGGTCAAGAGAAGAGGATGGAAATAAGGGAAAGGGACTAATGTAGAGGGAACAAAGGAGGTAAAAAAAAGGCTGGAAGGAGAAAGATGAAAAGTGAGGATGGAGGAGAGTAGGGAGAGTTTGCATTCCTCCACACTTCTCCGTTCCGAGGGGGCTTTTCGGGCTAGCCGGGGACGGCGGAGAGGAGACGGAGAAGGTGGTCGAGGGAGCAAGAGAGCAGGAGAGAGAGGAGAGACGGAGTGAAGGGGAGGGGTCGGTGTGGCTTTTGTCTGCTTCCCACGTTTCAAAGCCAGTCTTGAAAAATGAATAGACAGAGGAAAATCAATTGCATGACCTTCACACACACACACACAGAGAGAGAGAGAGAGAGAGAGAGAGAGGTAGATCAGGAAGGGGGAGAAGGAGAAAGAGAGAGGGAGAGATAGATTATGGGAGGACGGAAAGGGAAGGCTGGAAGGAAACATAAAATGACCCATGATGGTCATTCCCATTTGTTGTACATCTGTGTGTGTGTCTATGTGTGTGTGTCTATGTTTGCAAAGTTCCTTCAAGGACTCAAGCCTTTTATTTGAAATCATTTATATTTCAAAAGCACCAGATATTGAGTAAATTTTGCTTTGGGGGAAAGTTTTTTTTTTTCTTCCCGTCCACACATTTACTTCTGTGGCCTCATCATTTCTCTCAACACTGAACTCTCACAGTGACACACTTCAGGCTTTAGTAAAGTGTTTTAGATTAAGGTGAAACCACTGTTTTTGACCAGTACTTTTTTCATATAATATGAATTAGTCACAAATAAATGTGTACAATGTGTACATTTTGTAATGTTGACTCATCTGACGTGTGTAGGAGCGAATGTTATTGCAATGATCACCAGACCTGACTGTGTCATCCTGGTATTAAAACCTCTTTGACCAAAGTCCAGATCCTGGACGCCATTTTGTTTGATGCCTAAAATCAGGTCAAAGTTCATTTTCAGCAAGAACTTGAATTTGTCATAATTCTTCACACAGTCTGACAGTCACTGATGCTGATAAGTCCGTGTCTGTAGATCAGGACGGTGTCAAACATACGGCTCTCGTTCCAAAAATGGCCCGCTAGGAGGTTCTTTCCGGCCCGCTTGATAAAACATAGAGTTATTGTTATTTACAGGTAATTTTGTTATGATTGTACTGGTCCGGCACACTTGACATCTAATCACCAACATGACTTTGACACCCTTGCTGTAGATTATACTTTATAATAATCTAATTATTAGATTAGGTGATTTTAGATGCTGTCATTTTAGAATTGACTGTTTTAAGAACTTGACACATCTGTAGCCACCGCTCTCTGCGCGGGAGCCGTGGACCACGTCTGTCTCGCTGTACAGTGCAGTGACAACTCCCTGGCAGCAACAGTGTTTTACTGTCTCTCTCAGTGAGGTCGAACACACCTCTCTCCTCCCCATCACTGGTGACATTGACTTTAATTCTGCCTTCACTTGCCCTCCATCTTCCCCACTTCTCCTTTCTTTCGCTGCCACCTTTCTCCCTGGCCTCCCTCCTGTCTCCTCAAACCTCCTTGTGTTCTCCCTGTGTCTGCCTCTCCCCTTTAATTCACAGCCCTTAAAGCAGCCCGGGCTTTTAAGGGAAGTTAATTGCACTCAAATTATGTTCGACCGCGAAAGGAGCAAGGGAGCGACAGAGGAGAGACGGAGAGTGATAGGACAGAGACAGGGGAAGATGGGGGAGGGATGGATGTCAGTGGGAGACGATAATTGTGCCGGAGTAGACGCTGGGATTATGGTCGCTCTGTGTGTCTCTCCGTCACTGTGAACAGCTGTAGTGTCACATTTGGCTGATAGTAAACTTCTTGGCAGATGATGGAGCTGTTAGTTCCAGTGAGCTAAACTGTGATGACAGAGCAGCAACACTGACAAAGATCGAGAGCGGAACAGCTCTGTCCACTGTCTCGTTTAAAAAAACTAACCAATCATTTGACTTTGTTCTATTAACCTTTCTAAATAGGGCTGCGAAGTATATCAATTATTTAATATCATTATGTCATCAGTACATTAAATTGCCAAACTAA